GGACCATGGAAGACTAAATGGTCTTAACACTCAACTGTTCATTTATTCATTGATTAATTCAACAAATATTCGTTGAGAGTTGAACATGTACAAGGCACTGTGATAGCCATTGAAGATGAGAATAAATATAAATATGACATATTCTTTATGTTGGAGTTACATAGTCTAGTATAAAAAATGCATGTAAATAATTACAATATGATATAATAAGTGCTATAATAAAGGTCTCCAGGGAAGTTTCATAAAAGAGATGACTTCTGTATAGAATTGTACTCAATCTTGAGGGTTAAGGAGAAACTTGAGGTATAATGGGGTAGAGGAAGGGCTCTCTACACAGAAGAAACAGCTTGCGGAAAAATATGCAGAGGTGTGAAAGAACGTGACCAGTAGGGTATCAAGCAGTTGGGTATAGCTAAGGGTAGGGTAAGGTGAAGAGTGGTAGACAATGATTGGAAAGATAGGTGTAATCAGAGCACAAAAGATCTCTTATGCCATCTTCAGGAGTTTGAATTTATTTTGAAATTTATAGGAAGCTACTGAACAGTTTTAAGTCAGGAAGTAAACTTTTCAGATTTGTGTTTCAGAAAGGTATCTCGAAAGATTGTAAGGTGGGCTGGAGGAAGAAACATTTTATCTGATCCTCAGAACCACTCTGTGAAGTGTGTACAACAGGTATTTTCACTCATATTTTATACATAAGGATCTAGGACTTGGAGGCGTCTAGTGATTTGCCTAAATCCCCCTGCTTCATTCCAAAATTGAAGAAACTTAACAGCTTGTCCAGATAGGAATGTAGATGGAAACCTCTGTGCAGTTTCCCTTTGGTTTCAGTCATACTATGCTTGAAAATAATCTTTAAAAGCCAGTTCTGTTTGCACTACTGATTCCAACTAGTTTTGCATAGTTGATTAGGTAGAATTTGTACAGTCTGAATTAGAGGCTTTGAAGCATCAAAGTGTCCCACAATATGTTATTCTGTTTCCTAAGTAAAATCCTAGGCCACTCATATTTTCTGATGTTATTCTAAATCTTCTAAATCTTACACTCAGGCTGCAAACGAGCCACAGATATATTCAGACTTTTATATTTGGAGTCGACAGGAGGCAATTCACTTTAAGAAAGTGACATTTTTATTCTCTACTATTGTAAATATTTCAGAATTGTGAACTCTGGGTCAAATCTGTTTCTTATATTTGTGGGATTTGTAGGTGGCAAATAACTGTGAATTAGCTTGATTTGGTTTTCTTCCCTTCCCAGTTTTATAACTGAGTGTCATATAAGTGCAAATGGTTCAATAATGATTTTCTCTTCCCCCCCCCAAATGTCTCTAGTCAGTACTTAAAGTTTTCAAAAAGTTTATTAATTACAATTAATATTAAGGATTAGGTTCATAGAAAAAGAAAACAGTCATTTAAATTATTTCTGGAACATCTGGATTTTATTAAGAGGTGAAGGGTGAGTAACAAGAAGTCTGTACATGTTAGCAAAGGAAAGTCAGCTTACTAATTTTTTCTCTATAATAGTGGTTCTCAAGGTCAGCAGCAGCTGCATCACCTGGGAACTTGTTAGAAACCTGCACTTCAGATCTAGTTGGTGGAGTAGGAGGAAAAGCACCAATCTGTTTTTTTCTGAAGCCCTCCAGGCAATTCTAATGTAGGCTTAAGTTTGAGGTACACTGGTATAAAAGGAAAAAAAAAACATGTTTCAGACTATGAAAGACATGGTTTCAATTCCAAAGAGATATGATTTTAGACACATCATCTATTTCCTGGTCATATCACCAGGTTTCCTGGTTAACAACTTATCTCCTTAGCTGGTCTCATGAGTGGATAAATACTATCCAAAGTGATACCTGTTTATTTGTTATATTGACCATCTTCCCCCTCCACATGATTTGTATGCATGTTTAAGTTGGAGAACCACTGATATATAACATGCAATATATTAAAAGCAGACCAGCTACAGAATTTGAAGAGCTCAATGCAGAAGGAAAATGCAGGATACCTTGTTCAAAAATGAAGAATTTCAAGATGGTGACAGCAAAGCATTAAGCCAAGCATTAAAGTACAGAGCCCTATAACCCACAAGCCTACAGGTTGAATGCTCAAAGAGTAGCTTCTGCTTGTATCTAACCACACCTTTTTTTTTTTTAAGATGGAAATACTACAGTGCCATGAAACTAGGCCACATTTTCCCCTCAGACACTACCAATCTTACCTCCTGAGCTGTCACTCTCCATGCTTATTGGCCTCCTATCTTTGCTCCCTGTTGTCTTCCTTTCAGCTATCCATATGCAATTGTACTGTACAAGACCCAACTTAAGGTCACCATCCTCCATGACATCTTCCTTTACTACCTTAATTTACTTAACTGTCTTTCTAAACTTTCCTAGTATTTTATGCCATAAATTTAGTTCTTTTTAAAAAAAACCATTGACTTCTGATCATTGTGTTTATCCTGTTTCTTAAGTTAGAATACAAGCATCTTAAGGATTGAGGTGGTGCCAACATCATACAATGGAAAGAGCACAGGCTTTTGAGCTTAATAAACCCTGGGTGTAAATTCCCTCTCTTGTTTACTAACTGCTATATAGGTAAATTAATTCACTTTTGGGCCTTAGAATCTTCATTAGAAAAATGGGATGATAAGATCTGCTTTATTGGGTTGTTGTGAGGGTTAAGTGAGATAATATGGACAAAGCCCTGGGCATATATAAGTGCTCTGAAATGTTAGTTCTTTTATGCAGACACATTGGATGTATCCTGTCAGATATCTGATTTTGCTTCAGCAAATAGATGAGGGCTGAACACAAACTCACTATTCAATAAATATTTACTCATTGGAAATTGTATGTATTTTCTTTTTAATGTATTCTTTTTCATGCACCTAGGAAGTAAAGCAATCCTGTGGTGAATTTTTTTGAATTTGTAAGTATTTATTTATTTTTGAGAGAGAAAAAGAGAGAGCACAAGCAGGGAGGAACAGAGAGAAATGGAGACACAGAATCCGAAGCAGGCTCCAGGCTCTGAGCTGTCAGCACAGAGCCCTGTGTGGGGCTTGAACTCAGGAGCCATGAGACCGTGATCTGAGCT